AACCTCCTCCCATGTCGGTGTTAAGTCAGGGGCCCCCCAGGGCTCAATGCTAGGCCCTTGTTTGTTCCTAGCATATATCAATGATCTGCCCGAGAAGCTGACCTCTCAAGCAAGACTGTTAGCAGACGACACAGAGGTATATAGGACAATCGTCAACAGCTCTGACCAGAGCCAGCTTCAACAAGACCTCAATCGGTTAGCTGAGTGGGAGATGAGCTGGGACATGGAATTTCATCCCGTCAAGTGCCAGACCCTGTCAGTCTCCAGAAGCAGATTCCCTCTAAAGCACTCTTACGAACTGCATGGCCATATTCTTGAGCCAGTTTCCTCCGTAAAGTACTTGGGTGTTACCATTCAAAGAGAGGTCCACTGGGACGAGCACATTAACAGTGTGTGCAACCGGGCAAACAAGACCCTGGGGTTCTTAAGGCGCAATCTGAAGATCGGCAACTCAAGCGTGAAAGAAAAAGCCAATAAAGCCTTTGTCCGGCCTATTTTAGAGTACGCTTCTACAGTCTGGCACCCATTTACCCAGAAAGGCATCGACAGGTTGGAGGCGGTCCAGCGACGGGCAGCATGCTTTGTCATGAACCGCTACAGAAACACCTCAAGTGTTGGCAGCAGGCTAGAAACACTGGGCTGGTCTACATTGAAAAAATGACGACGACTATCCAAGCTCACCATGTTGTACAAGATAACAAATGGGCTGGTGCACTGCTCCGGAATCAAACAGAAACTCGTTCATCTTCCCCCTAGACTGCGACGAAGCCACGACAGACAGTTCCGGCTGGTAAAAACAAGAACAAAGTACAGAAGCTCCTCATTCCTGCCGAAGACAATAGGGGACTGGAACAAGCTTCCAAAAGCAACAGTTGAGGCGGCTACACTAGACACATTTGTGTCTATTGCCTCCTGTATTCCAACCCCCAGTTCATAACACCACTGCTGTATCACCCTTGCAACCAGTGAAGCATCCCATTGAAAGCCATGCACAGCAACATCGCAAATCCCTCTGAAACATAGGAGCCAGAATGATCAATTCATTGATCGTGGGCCCTCAAAATAAAGAAGAAGAAGATCCGCTTGTGACGAAATTGTGGTAAATTGTTTTGCGCAAGACCGCAATTGTTTTTTTTTCTTATTGCAGCTACACACATATAATTTCAAACTGAGCTATTGCATGGTGTGACGATCTGAAGCTGGTCTTTGTAAAATTTCTTATATCATAAATCCGCCCTTGGAAACCCCTGTATAATAACTCCTTTCCCTCCCCTCAAGTAGCCACACCGTCGCTCAGCACGAGTGAGTTCCCTTGTGATATTGTATTCCTGCAACAGTTCGCTCACCCCACCGAACATGCTATTTGCGGTCAACCATCCCACCGAACAACCTTGAGGAAATAATACCATTCCCCCCCTCATTTGTGCCCTGTAGACAGCAAGGCGGAGTTTCGTCCCTTGCTGGAAATGCATTGTCTAGACAGAAAACTCACGCCAAAGCCTGAAAAAGGATGGTCACCTCAGTCCGATTAACCTTGAGGGTTGAAGGTCAAACCCGCAACAGTGAAAGAGATTTTCATTGGAGGGAAAAATGACCCCTCATTTGAATCACCCAATTGAACCATCAGCTAATCGTCATCGAACTCGAATAAATAGCCTGAACAAGCAAGATTCTGCCTTTTATGATCTGATCACTTGACGGTGAATGCTGGAAGGATCTGCACTCAGAACTTCGTCAGCATGATACATAACTGCATCCTAGGATATTAGCAAGTACATGACTTTAAGATCTGATCACTTGATTGTGGACGCTTGAAGTGATCTAGACTTAGCACTTCACTGGCGTGATACTTAACTTCAACTGCTACCTAGAGTACTACCTGGTTTCTACTACTGGACCGACTTACCTCGAGCTGGAACTAGGGGATTGATCTACATCCTACACCAAACTACCTGACAGCTAGGACTTCGAGATCCAGGGACTCTCACCACCACGATTTATCGCGGGAGAGTCATCTTCCCCTCGCAGACATCCCAAGGACTCTACGACCGGGAACTCCGACTTCGCTACGCTCAGAGCAGCACCGAAGGCCGGAACAGGGACACTGCTTCTTGAACAGAAGGACTCCCACACTGTGTGATCCACCGAGACCATCACAGAATCTATAAAGGCTAAGTTTACCAAGATCGAGCATAGAACTTGAGCAATATAGCAGTAGTAATGATGATACCGTCTGTATGTTAGGGACACTTGCTTTGTGTTAATATACCTTTCTAATTGGATGAAATCCGTTTGATGTATATACATTGAGCACCACGAGTGTTTCACGTAGGAAGTTGTAAATATTATTGTGTAATAAATATTTGTAGTTAATTTCACCTTTAACTAAGACTTCGTTTCAGTCTATACTATATGTATATAGATAGGTGTTATGTCCGTGTGGTTATTCGGCTTAAATAACATATCCCTAGACAGAGTGCCAAGAGGAGATCTCATACGAGAGACCCTCCTCTCTAATAAGTCATAAGTCAGATCACCACACATGGAGTTTTATAAAACATGGATGGAATTTAATAAAATACAAGGGACATTTCAGTTTGTGTGACATAATAATCATGTTTCTGAATCAGTAGAACCATTTTACAATTTGGCGCTTGGGGCCGAGAGCCTTATTTTAATTTTTTATTTATGTGAGCTCTATAAATATAATTTCAAACAGAGCTGCTAAATGGGTGGATCAATCGCTACAAGTGTGTGGAATAAATTTTAAAAATCATTGTTCTCGCTTGGACAGCTTTATGTGGCATTCTCGCTTGGACAGATTTATGTGGCATTCTCGCTTGGACAGCTTTATGTGGCATTCTAGCTTGGACAGCTTTAATTGGCATTCTCGCTTGGACAGCTTTATGTGGCATTCTCGCTTGGACTGCTTTATGTGGCATGCTCGCTTGGACAGCTTTATGTGGCATGCTCGCTTGGACAGCTTTATGTGGCATGCTCGCTTGGACAGCTTTATGTGGCATGCTCGCTTGGACAGCTTTATGTGGCATGCTCGCTTGGACAGCTTTATGTGGCATGCTCGCTTGGACAGATTTATGTGGCATTCTCAAGAGGTGCAAAGCCTTCTAATTATTTGTGTACGCACGACACGGAAAAAAAAATATATTTTCCATTTTAAAAACTACTTTAAAAGCGATATATTTTCTATTTAAAAACTACTTTATATGCGTAATTAAAACTCAAACACTTTTTTTCGAGTGGCATTGCAGCGCATGCTGGGTTCTCACGAGTAATATAAATAAAATTTAGAAAATACTTATCTCATTTTTTACAATGATCTGAATAATGCGGCTCCCAGCCAAGATGCGTGAAATTATGTTGGTTTACTCCGGTCATGCACGGTTCCTTCAAGTCTTAGTAACGTCTATTGTGTTCTGTCATAACTTTTTAATCTTTTTTACCCCTTTCAATGTTTTTCATAACATACTATATTTTAAACACATCTCTGTCATTGTGTTTCATTACATACCATATTTTAAACACACCTCTGTCACTGTGTTTTATTACATACCATATTTTAACGCATCTCTGTCATATTGTTTCATAACATACTATATTTTAAATACACCTCTGTCACTATGTTTCCAAAAAATACCATATTTTAAACGCACCTCTCTCATTATGTTTCATAACATACCATGTTTTAAACACACCTCTGTCATTGTGTTTCATTACATACCATATTTTAAACACACCTCTGTCACTGTGTTTCATAACATACCATATTTTAAACGCACCTCTGTCATTGTGTTTCATTACATATCATATTTTAAACACACCTCTGTCACTGTGTTTCATAACATACCATATTTTAAACGCACCTCTGTCATTGTCTTTCATTACATACCATATTTTAAACAGACCTCTGTCACTGTTTTTCATAACATACCATATTTTAAACGCACCTCTGTCATTGTGTTTCATTACATACCATATTTTAAACACACCTTTGTCACTGTGTTTCATTACATACCATATTTTAAACGCACCTCTGTCATTGTGTTTTAAAACATACCATATTTTAAACGCACCCTCACATTGTGTTTCGTAACATACCATATTTTAAACATATATCTATCCTTGTGTTTCATAACATACCATATTTTAAACACATCTCTGTTATTGTGTTTCATAGCATACCATATTTTAAAAACATATCTGTCACTGTGTTTCATAACATACCATATTTTAAACATATATATATATATATCATTGTGTTTCATAACATACGATATTTTAAACAATCTCTGTTATTGTGTTTCATAGCATACCATATTTTAATTGCATCTCTGTCACTGTGTTTCATAACATACCATATTTTAAACGCACCTCTCTCATGGTGTTTCATAACATACCATATTTTAAACGCACCTATGTTATTATGCATGACCTTTAGAAAATGTGTTTAATAAGGATGCCTGGTGTGGTAACAGTTCTCTAATGGTGGAATACTTTTCTAATAATGGAATCGTTTTCTAATGGGAGAAAAGTTTTCTTGATTTGGAATAGTTTTCTAATGGTGGACTTGTTTTCTGATGTGGTTCTAATTTTATGAAGTGTCAAACGTTTACCCATAACTGGTAATTGTATTTGAGTTTGATATATGCATAAACATTTCTCGATTCTTTTTGCTAATGTCTGGTGAATATTTTCTCATTTGAAAGGAACATGTTTATGTATATTGGGAAAATTTGGGGACAATTTACGAAATATTAACAATTATATGAAGAATATTTATGATGTCATCAATATTTTAAACAAATTAAATACTAATTTAAAAAAAAACAATAACAAAAAAAAAATCAAAATAGTTAATTAAAGAATATAAAAAAGAAATTTTTTAAGAAAAGTACTTATTATGATTTTTTATGTTTATTTGCTTAAATTAATTTATAATTTATTTTACTTTTGTTGCGAGTCAATAATGCGCTATATTATTTTGAATAGTATTTATTTCTTGCTTTAGCATTTTTTTTTAAAAAGTGATTGAGTAGGATTTTTTGCTGTAATATTCGATAAAGTATCGTTTCTTGGATGAGGCTGTATGGATGTTTACAACGTATCGTCATCCTTCATATGAAGGGCTTCATATTTCACCGGTAATCGCATGTGTTCTATGGCGATTCAATTTTGTTCACTGGTTCCAACATCCGACCTTGTATGATGAGGACACCATAGAGATCATCTCTGACGAAGAACAAGAAAGGATGGCTTGCCTTGACTCTGACTAGTTTTTCAGCTTTATCGCCTATGACCTTTTCTGAGCCTTGGTTCTTCGGGGTGTTATTGCCTGTGACATTTTCCGAGCGCCTGGTCTTCAGGGTTGCATCGTCTTCGACATTTGCTGAGCGTCTGTCCTTTGGGCTTTCATCATCTCCGACATCACCTTTGACATCATCTTTGACATCATCATTGGTATCATTTTCGGCATTACCATTGACATTTTCTGAGAGTGTGGTCTTCGGGGTTGAAGTGACCTCGTCAGCCTCTTCAGATTGATTAAGAAATATTTGAGTTCCGATAGTCACATAAGATAAACCGAGATCTATCAGAGGTGCATGTACCGCCTGGCCGATGTTACATTTCATGGGCGTGGCATTTGTGAAGTCGGCATCATCGGAAAAGGCGGCGTTTATTCCCAGTTTTTGCAGTGGCTCTTCCAGCTCGACTCCGTCTCCGATGCGTAACAACGGCAGCTCGACTAGAACGTTCCGTGCCACGACCAAATCTAACACTTGATCCAGGTGTAAGCTACGTCTAGCGAGCTTACCCTCTAGTTTTTCCAAGCCGTCGGCAGTTGTGGGTTGTATGATGTAGAAGCCGAAGCGGTCGTTCTCAAAGGGAATCTTCAGCACGTGGCCATTCAACTCATGAGAAAATGCATATCCGAAATGTCCCATCGCTCTCATAGACGTTGTCTTTATATTCTTGAAAGTCGACGTGGTAAAGTCCATATAATTGCCTTTATTGTAAATGAATTTCCGTTTCCATCGGAGTCTTAGGTTGAGAATGTTAACGATCATGGCTAGGAGGGGATCCTCTTGGGTCCATTGAGTTCGACTTGGAAAGAAGGAAATATAGGTCCACCCTGTCGTAGTTTTCAGATCTACCTCGGAAGGAGTGTAGACCAAATTGATAGTCGTCTGTTAAAGAAATTATTTCATTATTATTCATATAAATTTTGTTTCTATATTATTATGTTAGAAAAAATTAGGTTCACCAGTAAAAACAACTAAGAGAATGAAACTATAGACAACCGTTTTCCAAACTTTTTAAAAAAAATATTTTTAGAATGAATTCCTTTAGCGTTTTTATATTGGAGCTCGAGAAACGCCATGGTTTGTTCTATTCCAAATGGGTTTCTGACCAAGTGAATCTCATAGCTAGTAATAGTCATTGTAGAAGCTAAGCGATAGTCACTTTCGTAGCTAAGTTTTTGTTACTTTCATAGATAAGTAAGTATCACCGTAATAGCTTAGTAATAGTCAATGTCATTATTAAATATGTTTCATTATACTGATCAACTTTAAGATTCCAACAAATTCAATTTTTGGCACATTGGACTCAATTCTGAGATCCTTTTGTCCAACACGTTGAGAGACCTTGGATTCTACACTGACAGCAACCGTACGATGATCCCTCATATCATTTCTGTATTCAGAGCGTGTTTCTGTCATCTTCGCGCTCTGGGTCATCTGTATCCTAAACTTAATAAGAGGACAGCCAATGCCCCTAGTTGTCACTCTAATCCAATCAAGATCAGATACTGTAACAGTTGTCTGTGGGGTTTACCTCAAAACTGAATTCAGAAACTCCTGAAGGCACAAAATAATGCAGCACGCATTGTATCGCGTATACAGAAATCTGACCATATCACCCAAGTCTTAAAGATCTCCATTGACTTCCTGTGCGTGAGCGCATTGCCCACAAAATTATGTCCCTGGCGTATAGCTGTATAGAAGGCTCTGAAAATGTGTATCTTCAAAAACTAATTTCTAAACATGTCTCCATACAGAACCTGCGCTATTCAATATTCAATACATTCCTTACTGAGATTTCCCAGTGCGAATGAACACAGAAAGAAATCATACGGAGTGAGCTCTTTTAAAGCTTTTCAAACAGTTTGCCAGTTCTTTGAAGGAAATTGAAAAAAAGAAAAAGCCTTTTTCATTTAAATAGATTATTGGACACCTAGCTGTGACATTTTAGGATGTTTTAGCCGTGAGCATGCTAAACTATCACGAAAACAAGTGCTATATAAGTAATTAATTATCATCATACTGAGTTTTAGTTCGGCCGTCAGCTGTGCGAATATCTCAAGTTTCTCTTCTTAAAAAATTTAGTCAATAGTAAAAAATTGCATTAAATTCATAAGCTATGCGATCATTAAGACAGCAACAGAAACAGCAATTATGTGGATTTAAAAAGAACGACTAGATACCGCGACATACCCTTTCTGTCAGATTTTTTCTAAGGTGATTTTGGCCGTTATTTTTTTTTCAAATTGTTCGGGCCGCCGGCAGGAAGTTTGGCTGAAGCTTGCCGACAGCCTGTTAAATAAAACTGCCTTAAAAAAATTCTTTGACTAAAAAACATATTGATTTATTCTAGATTTAATAAGTTCATTTTACAGATTTCATTTGTGAGTCACCTGTAATCAGAGACGTCTTTTCTTGTTATATGATAATTTTGACGTTGCTTATATTTCAGCAGATCATGACGTGATAAGATCTTATTTTTTAGCTTGAGCAGATCATGACGTGATAAGATCTTATTTTTTAGCTTGAGCAGATCATGACGTGATAAGATCTTATTTTTTAGCTTGAGCAGATCATGACGTGATAAGATCTTATTTTTTAGCTTGAGCAGATCATGACGTGATAAGATCTTATTTTTTAGCTTGAGCAGATCATGACGTGATAAGATCTTATTTTTTAGCTTGAGCAGATCATGACGTGATAAGATCTTATTTTTTAGCTTGAGCAGATCATGACGTGATAAGATCTTATTTTTTAGCTTGAGCAGATCATGACGTGATAAGATCTTATTTTTTAGCTTGAGCAGATCATGACGTGATAAGATCTTATTTTTTAGCTTGAGCAGATCATGACGTGATAAGATCTTATTTTTTAGCTTGAGCAGATCATGACGTGATAAGATCTTATTTTTTAGCTTGAGCAGATCATGACGTGATAAGATCTTATTTTTTAGCTTGAGCAGATCATGACGTGATAAGATCTTATTTTTTAGCTTGAGCAGATCATGACGTGATAAGATCTTATTTTTTAGCTTGAGCAGATCATGACGTGATAAGATCTTATTTTTTAGCTTGAGCAGATCATGACGTGATAAGATCTTATTTTTTAGCTTGAGCAGATCATGACGTGATAAGATCTTATTTTTTAGCTTGAGCAGATCATGACGTGATAAGATCTTATTTTTTAGCTTGAGCAGATCATGACGTGATAAGATCTTATTTTTTAGCTTGAGCAGATCATGACATGATAAGATCTTATTTTTTAGCTTGAGCAGATCATGACATGATAAGATCTTATTTTTTAGCTTGAGCAGATCATGACGTGATAAGATCTTATTTTTTAGCTTGAGCAGATCATGACGTGATAAGATCTTATTTTTTAGCTTGAGCAGATCATGACGTGATAAGATCTTATTTTTTAGCTTGAGCAGATCATGACATGATAAGATCTTATTTTTTAGCTTGAGCAGATCATGACATGATAAGATCTTATTTTTTAGCTTGAGGAGATCATAACGTGATAAGATCTTATTTTTTAGCTTGAGGAGATCATGACGTGATAAGATCTTATTTTTTAGCTTGAGGAGATCATGACGTGATAAGATCTTATTTTGGACAATTTCTCTGGTAGATCAGTGCTCACATGACTAATATTGTATTGGGACAGTTCTTAGTATGATTTAATTTTAAATTTTATCAATTCTTTGTTAGACAAGTTCTTCATTTCACCAGTTTCTCTAAATTTTGCCCATGCAAATAAACAAACAATAAATAAACATAGATCTATAATTACCTATCCCTTCCATTATTAACTTTTTAAAGTAGATTTGTCTTGAATTCTTGACTTAAAAAACATTTTGAAAAATAATTTAGTGGTCAACTTACCGCAAACTTGTTCTCCGCTTTCACTCCCGAACTGATCATATACGTTTTGTTGAGTTGCATCTCGCAGTCCTTGCCAAGATTGCAGTTGTCCGTTGTCGTATCAAGCCATCCTTTGTACTGCTCCTCAAGGTTTTTGATTCTCTTAACCTATAATACAAAAACAAAAACAACAAAAAAGGGCTCGAATATGATCCAGAATGTTTTGTTACCTGTTTCTCAATTCACGGAGTTCTTTCTCATCCAGGTATTTCTCTTTATCATGATCTCTCTATGCGCGTCTGGCATTTATGCTGTCTTTTTATTTCAAACCAGAACATATTTTTGTAACGGACTATGTTTTCACATGTAAACAGAGAGGTAGCATGAGTGGACAGTGAGTGTGTTCACCAGGTTTTTCCACGGGGAGAGACAATCAATGTGGATTGTATTTTTGAGAACAAATGTGAACTCCACGTTTTTGGAGAGTAAAATTATGTTTTTGTCAGAGCGGTTGTTTTGCACGCTTTGCTGGTAATAAAGTATGAGTTGACTGAGATAGTAGAGAGCTGAGCGCAGAGCAGTAGAGTCAGTCAGTAGCGTGAGAGCTGTGAGATTAGACAGTTGAGCTGAGTTATAGTAGTCTGAGGACGTGTCTTTCTTAATGATGGAATACTATAGATATATATGTGAAATTACATTCATGCAAGGATTATTTATTAATATTATCAATATAAAGTGTGTTCAATAAAGTACTGTGAGTTTTAACTAGAATTGAGTATTCTTCTTTACGTGCCTGAATAATAAGTGAAAGAATGAAGAAGACTGAGTCGGCATCCTGAAGTGTTAATATAAGTAACCATACTACTGACATAACCCACAGCATAAGAAATAACCATCCCACGCCATGTCAGAGTAGAAGTGTGTTACAATTTTGTTCCACTATTTCACTGAACTTGGCCAATGTAGATGTCACGGGGGAATGCTCTGCTTTGGCAAACACAGTAATCCAAAGTAAAACCGTTTTTCTTGTGCATTTGGTTGCTGTTCGTCCGTCGAAGTCGACTAGGACCATCGAGTCATCCAGTTAGGGGGGAGGGTGGGTTACGGTGAGCTCGTAGGTGGCTTGCTAGATCGATCCGTGCTCGGAATAATCTCTGGCACCGCGGGAAGGGGATAGTTGCTGCAGACGGTGACCTAATGTTGCTCTCTCGGGCAAGCATGCGTGTCTCAGCTGGTTTTATCCTATTAGCTTCATGTGATTTATTAAGCCATCAAAAGCTTATATCATAATACACTAAAATGAAAATGAGACAATTTTGTATAAACAATTTTGTAAAAAGCCAAATGGATGTTATCAAATTTACTTTCAGGGAAAATTTGTTCAATTTTACCCATTATAGATGTAAGAAAATTAAAAACTGAATTAATATATCAATAAACCAACTCTTAATTTAATAACACAGAGTATACTATTTTGTCATATAAATTGAGAATATACCGGGGGAAGATAGTCACTTCATAATAGAATCCTTATATCAATATATGCGCGAATGATATTATTTTTTTATCCACCGCAACTCTCTGGTGGTAGTTTTGATCAAAGTAGAGTTATTCCACTCATTTTTGGCCACGACCTCTTAGAAATATTTTGTTCATTATTTCAGAGAAGAAAGAACACATTGAGCTTATTAAGCTTTCTGAAGATATGTCGCCACCGTCACCTAGGCAACGTAAATATTTTTTTGGGGTGGGGGCAACGATAATGTGAATTAAAAGGAAATACATTATTCAGATTTAGGGTAAAGCCTACTTTTAAATCCTTATATTAACATTGCATTTTTTCCGCGTGTTTTATCGTTTAAGTCATAATCTTCGAACGCATAGTTGACCCACTTCCCGACATCCTATCGACCTGAAACTGGTCACATAGATTCGTTGCCGGTGACACCACATTCAGTCTAATTTTGAGCCGCAAAAACTCCAAAAAATCAGTCGGTACTGTTTTCCAAGGGGAGGATGAATGAAAAATGATTTGTTTTCAAAAATTAAGTGTTTTGGTGTGGAGATTAATTGTGTAGCTGTTGTTATATACATTGTATTAGTGACGTATGTGTGTATGCGGTTTTTCAGTTTTCGTTTTGGTGAAAAGATATTTTCATTCCCTTGTTTTGTATATGAATATAGATATTTTTTGTTTAGTCAGCGCTCATTTATTATTAGTTAAAAGCTCCGGGCTACATTTTTTTAACGGAAATTATTAAGAATGTATGGACCAAGTGAGGAATCATCACCTAAAAGAAAAAATAAGTGTACTAGTCGGCTTTGCTTCGAAGGACGGACGAAATCACTTGCAAGGTCTGGGATTATTCTTAAAGAGGTAAGCTTGTTCCCTAGACAGCAAATGCCTCCCTGCACGCACCTGAATAACAACCCAAGGGAACATTCATTTTTTTAAAAAATGAAACAGCACGGCATCATTGGATTCACAGAAGTTTCCGGAATATTCATTGTGTCAATGTTATCCACCTACAGACCCATCTCCAGGTTTGTATTCAGAGGTTACCTTTTCACAGATGAGTTGCCATCAGAGTTTAACTTGTCGCGTCCATCCGGGATGCTGGTGATGTTTTTGATTGTCTAATGTTATCGCTCCTGACAGACGGCTTTTTGGATTGATTCGGTATACACCCTCTCAGACACTCAAACTATAACAATACAAACAACTGGCCACTCAAACTATAACAATACAAACTGGACACTCAAACTATAACAATACAAACTGGACACCCAAAGTATAACAATACAAAGTGGCCACACAAACTATAACAATACAAACTGGCCACTCAAACTATAACAATACAAACTGGCCACTCAAAATATAACAATACAAACTGGCCAGTCAAACTATAACAATACAAACTGGCCACTCAAACTATAACAATACAAACTGGCCACTCAAACTATAACAATACTAACTGGACACCCAAACTATAACAATACAAACTGGCCCCTCAAACTATAACAATACAAACTGGCCACTCAAACTATAACAATACAAACTGGCCACTCAAACTATAACAATACAAACTGGCCACTCAAACTATAACAATACAAACTGGACACTCAAACTATAACAATACAAACTGGCCACTCAAACTATAACAATACAAACTGGACACTCAAACTATAACAATACAAACTGGACACCCAAACTATAACAATACAAACTGGCCACTCAAACTATAACAATACAAACTGGCCAGTCAAACTATAACAATATAAACTGGCCACTCAAACTATAACAATACAAACTGGCCACTCAAACTATAACAATACTAACTGGACACCCAAACTATAACAATACAAACTGGCCCCTCAAACTATAACAATACAAACTGGCCACTCAAACTATAACAATACAAACTGGCCACTCAAACTATGACAATACAAACTGGCCACTCAAACTATAACAATACTAACTGGACACCCAAACTATAACAATACAAACTGGCCACTCTAACTATAACAATACAAACTGGCCACTCAAACTATAACAATACAAACTGGCCACTCAAACTATAACAAGACAAACTGGACACTCAAACTATAACAATACAAACTGGCCCCTCAAACTATAACAAGACAAACTGGACACCTAAACTATAACAACACAAACTGGACACCCAAACTATAACAATATAAACTGGACACTCAAACTATAACAACACAAACTGGACACCCAAACTATAACAATAGAAACTGGGCACTCAAACTATAACAATAGAAACTGGACACTCAAACTATAACAACACAAACTGAACAGCCAAACTATAACATTAGAAACTGGACACTCAAAATATAACAACACAAACTGGACACCCAAACTATAACAATAGAAACTGGACACTCAACCTATAACAATAGAAACTGGACACTCAAACTATAAAAATACAAACTGGCCACCCACACTTAACAATAGAAACTGACCACCCACTTTGCAGCAATTAGAAACTCACCTCTAAAGCTATCTTCATTTCATTAGAAGTTTCGCCTTTCGCTCCAACAAGTGCCATTGACAAAGCCAGGTGAATACTAATTGGCGAGAAGAAAAAGCTCATTCCTGTTTCACTCAAAACTGTGTGCAGGTCCATAGAGAATAATGTGATGGCCTTGGCTAACTTGCTTAGATCTGGGCCTGAAGGCTTGTGTTGTTGAACAACGTCATCCTCTTGAGCATACAAGCAATGAGAAGTCATGAAACTGGCAATAGCTAGAGCCACCACAAGACTCGGTGACTTCATGACTCGGTGAAGGTTGTTGCTGAACTGACAACCTGTTGAACAACAGCTTCCACAACTCAGTGGTGTCTTTCTGGTCTTTATAGTCGGCTAAATTGATTATCGATTTAGCTTTTCGTCCGGCCAATTATGTTTCTTGAGAGGGGTTTAAATTTATGATTGACACCTGCAGTCGTAACTCGCTCTATCATAAATTCTCAACCAATGTATTTTGATCATGTGAGTGTCGTTCTCCATAATGTTGTTCTGATTTAATGCCTGCTATCGTAGATCAGTTTGATTGTAATGGTTCTTAAGACATGTCTGTGGTCAATTGATGGATTGCGTCTAGCTATATAACACAATCCGTTTTGTTTAATATATAAATAACTAGGGTAATCCTTTCATAACACGTAGTCAATACTTATATAACCTTTGTGTTATATTAATAGAACCACTTTAAAGTTTTTTCTTTAAAAAATAATTTAAAAATCAAGACGACAAAATAGGTAGGGAGTAGTTTCAAAGCTATTAGAAGCTAGTAGTACACATACAGACCAGCGACCATAAAGCATTAGTGAGACACGTTTGCCGATTGAACATATCTTTAATGTTAAATATTCCTTAAATAAAGTTGTTGTGTATAAATCCTTTGTATGCATTTTTTAATCATTTTATTTGATATTTACCAAGTGTTAGAGTTGTTGTTTTCGTTTCTGCCACATATTGGATTTGCTCGAGAACTCAATCACCTGTGGCTTTCTTCCTATCAACGCAATGTAATATGGCTAAATAACAAGATTGTTCTATGACAAACAAAATACAGTTTGCCATGAACAAAGTAATGGGAGTTGCTTAGTCTATTGTTTTGTATACCGAAGGCTGTATACTATGCTAGAATGTGCTTGTACCGGGTAGCTAAAATGTGCTAATACCGATTACCAATAATGAGTGAGTGTCGTTAAACTAGAATGTGCGAGTACGTGTAGCTAGAATGTGCGAGTACCGTGTAACTAGAATGTGCGAGTACCGTGTAACTAGAATGTGCGAGTACCATGTAACTAGAATGTGCGAGTACCGTGTAACTAGAATTTGCGAGTACCGTGTAGCCTTAATGTGCTAGTTTCGTGTAACTTGAATGTGCTAGTCCCATGTAGCCTTAATGTGCGAGTACCGTGTAACTAGAATGTGCGTGTACCGTGTAACTAGAATATGCGAGTACCGTGTAACTAGATTGTACTAGACCCGTGTAGACTTAATGTGCGAGTACCGTGTAAATAGAATGTGCTAGTACCGTGTATCTAGAATGTGCAAGTCCCGTGTTGCCTTAATGTGCTAGTACCGTGTAGCTAGAATGTTCCAGTCCCGTGTTGCCTTAATGTGCTAGTACCGTGTAACTAGAATGTGCGAATACCGTGTAACTAGAATATGCGAGTACCGTGTAACTAGATTGTACTAGTCACGTGTTGCCTTGATGTGCTAGGACCGTGTAACTAGAATATGCGAGTACCGTGTAACTAGAATATGCGAGTACCGTGTAACTAGATTGTACTAGTCCCGTGTAGCGTTAATGTGCTAGGACCGTGTAACTAGAATGTGCGAGTACCGTGTAACTAGATTGTACTAGTCCCGTGTAGCCTTAATGTGCTAGTACCATGTAACTAGAATATAGTGCCCTGGCCTGCTCTCCCCCCACACCCTTCCATTTTGACATCATCTTCGTTGGCACTACAACCAATGTAAGGCCCTGGCCTGCTCTCCCCCCACACCCTTCCAATTTGACATCATCGTCATTGGCGCTACAACCAATGTAAGGCCCTGGCCTGCTCTCCCCCACACCCTTCCATTTTGACATCATCGTAATTGGCGCTGCAACCAATGTAAGGCCCTGGCCTGCTCTCCCCCCACACCCTTCCATTTTGACATCATAGTCATTGGCGCTACAACCACTGTAAGGCCCTGGCCTGCTCTCCCCCCCCCCCCCCTCCATGCAACCAATGTAAGGCCCTGGCCTGCTCTCCCCCCACACCCTTCCATTTTGACATCATAGTCATTGGCGCTACAACCAATGTAAGGCCCTGGCCTGCTCTCCCCCCCCCCCACGTCCTTCCATTCGGATCGTTCTTTGTATTTCCACATTAGTGCCGTGCCCCCAGCTCACGTCAGTCCTTCTCTACATCATCAGTCCATCCTAGTCTTTGTCGACCGATGAGCCATTAGTCTCTAGCATGCCACAGCGGCCATATCCTGGGCAACGGCTTCCATTAGCCGGGTCAATCAACTGTGGGTAGCTGATGGGCCTCAAACCCTCGGTGATTTTAGGTCTGCCTACCTACAACATGCAAAGCCTGGAAATCGACGAATCCTGCGGGGGAAACCACTTAGGTTCAACGGAGGTGAAGGCGATTACAGCAACGCACTGTGGAGTGCGTAGAGCAAAATGAGGCACGTAGAACATCTTGGTCATCCACTGCATCCGTACCCATTTCTGGTCATCTTGACATAGTCTTACCACTGGACACGGTGGGTCTGGACGAGAGAGTGAGGTTGACGCTGCGCAAATCTTCCTCACTTTAAAAAAGTCACCCGCGCAAGTCATCAGTCATCCAACTATGCCCATCATCCCAAGTCTCGTGGCGACAGGCAGGCTCTCCTAAATGCATGACGAAGGGGCTAAAATAGGTGCCCAAAAGAATGCCTGCTCCTTCACACCCTGGCCGAATGAACACGGTCAGCAGGGACACAATCTTTGCGCTCGTAAATCAAGGATAAAACACTATTTCACTTAAAATTACCACATGGAACATACGCCCACTGATTGACAGGGACACTTCTGAATGACCTCAACGTCACACGGCGCTCATTGTTCATGAACTTGCGAGATACAATATAGATAGCGCCGCCCTCAGTGAAACCAGACTCTCTGGCAAGGGTGAAATCACAGAAAGGCTTGCTGGCTATTCTTTTTTTTGGAGCGGGCGCGACCCTGACGCAAGGCAAGAAGCTGGTGTTGGCTTTGTTATCAAAACCTCTCTTGTAACCAAGCTCCCCAGCTCTTCAAAAGTTATAAATGGCCGTCTCATGACGTTGAAAATCGCCCTCTGCTATGAAAAGAAGTCTGCTACCTTAGTCAGTGCCTATGCACCCACCATGACAAACACAGAAGAGACCAAAAATCAAATTTTATGAAGACCTGAACACTGTCATCTCTTCCACACAATCTGCTGACAAACTCATCATACTTGTCATTTCAATGCACGTGTCGGCAGTGACTACACCTCCTGGGGGGAGGGGGGAGTGATTGGGAAGCATGGTGTTGAAAATTTTAACAGCAACGGCCTACGGCTACTTCAGACCTGTGCTGAACATGGCCCTCTAAAAACGAACACCACCTTCAGCGTCCCTACGCGCAACCCGACCTCTGGATGCACCCCCGTTCAAAACATTGGCATCTAATTGATTATGTCATAGTCAGAAATAGGGACCGTCAGGACGTGAGGGTGACTAAGGCCATGTGTGGCGCAGAATGCTGGACGGATCACCGCCTCATCGTTTCAAAGATGAAAATTCATATCCAACCTAAGAGACGACCTCAGGCCACGAAAGTTCCGAAACGCCTCACCATCAATAGGCTGAAGATCCCTGATGTGAGACAAACCTTTGTTGACAGCCTAGATCAACGCCTTGATACAATCACACTGGAGAAACCAGGATGCGGAAAAAGCGTGGACCACGATTCGTGAGGCGGTCTATAATACAGCCGCTGAGCGCCTCGGACCCTCTACGAGGAAACACAGGGACTGGTTTGACGAAAATAACACAGCGATCCAAAAGCTACTTGAGCAAAAACGCCAGGCGTACAAGGCACTCCATGATGACCCAATGTCAACAGCAAAGACAGCTGCACTTAGGGGCATCCACAGCAAGGTCCAGATACAACTGCGCCAGATCCAAGATTCCTTGTTAAATTCAAAAGCTGGTGAAATACAGGGCTCTGCAGACAAGAAAGAAACGAAAAACTTCTACCGTGGCCTGAGAGAAATCTATGGTGTTGCCACATCAGGCTCTTCCCCTCTCCTTGTGCTGACGGTTCTACTCTCATTACAGACAAAGAGAAAATCTTTGAAAGTGTGCTCAATACGCCTTCCATCATTAATGATGAGGCCATTGAAAGACATTCCCGGGTCCCAACGAACAATTCACTGGACGCCGTCCCAACTTTTGATGAGATACAGACAGCGATCCGCCAAATGTCCAATGGCAACGTACCTGGCTCCGACATGATTCCTGCCGAAATCTACAAAGAGGGTGGACCAGCGCTGACGGATAAGCGTTAACTTAAGAGAGAGAGCGACCCGCGGCTATTTCAATGGCCGCCATCGTGATTGCCTCGACCCGCGCACTTTTACGTGTTCAAAGGTCGAGGCAACGAAGATGGCGGCCATGGAAAAAATAAAATAATTCACGTTTGCTAAAATTAGGAAGAAAACGTTACAAATGTATGAAAAATTGTCTTAAATCAATCTCTATGCCTAACGTGAACCCTAAATCTATCCCTATGCCTAACGTGAACCCTAAATCTATCCCTATGCCTAGCCTGAACCCTAAATCTATCCCTATGCCTAACCTGAACCCTAAATCTATCCTTATGCCTAACCCTAACCCTAAATCTATCCCTATGCCTAACCCTAACCCTAAATCTATCCTTATGCCTAACCCTAACCCTAAATCTATCCCTATGCCTAACCCTAAATATATCCCTATGCCCGACCCTAAGCATACATCTACCCCTATGCCTAACCCTAACCCTAAATCTATCCTTATGCCTAACCCTATCCCTAAATATATCCCTATGCCTAACCCTAAAACTATCCCTATGCCTAACCCTAACCCTAAATCGATCCATATGCCTAACCCTAACCTTAAATCGATCCCTAAACCTAACCTTAACCATAAAAACTAGCCGTTAATCCACAAGTAAAAACATGTGGAATTTCACACTTTGGCAAGAAAACTATAAAAATTAACCAAAAAAAAAAAAAAAATTAAAAAAAGGGACCAAAATAATTATAAAATAAAGAAATAATGAAAACCCAACTTACAGTTTCATGAAATACACTTGTACACACTTTATTTCAGGTTCCAACGAAAATATAGCCACAAAATGAATAAATCTCCACACCCTACAGGCACCCCAAAGATATCAAATATGCGGAACAAAAGAAATATGATAATGAAACAACCAATGAAAATTTTTAAATTATATTTAATCAACCACTAAAACTTTATTTCCGAAAAAGTAACTCTTTTAACCAAAAAGAATTTAAAAATAAGGGCAGAGACTCCAAAACAAAGTCGTTGTGGGCCGCTCAATCTTAAACAGCCGGGTAAGCTATTGCGTTTATTCCAAATCATCTGGCAGACGGAAACTGTACCACAAGACATCAATGATGCCTCAATTATCCACCAATACAAACACAAAGGAAACCGCCAGGCCTGCGACAATCGCCGTGGAATTTAACTACTGTCCATTGCAGGCAAGGTCTTGGCCCGAGCTCATCTGAACCGCCTGAATGCACATCTGGAGCTTGGTCTCCTACCCGAAAGTCAGTGCGGTTTCCGCAAAGAACGCCGGACTATCGATATGGTGTTTGATGCTAAACAGCTTCAAGAAAAATGCCAGGAACAAAATACAGACCTATATTCTACATTTATCGACTTGAATAAGGCCTTTGACAGGGTGAATAGAGGGGGCCTGTGGAAAATTATGAAGAAATACGAATGCCCAGACAAGCTCACCAACATCATCCGTCAGCTGCATGATGGTATGATGGCCCGAGTGCAGGACAACGGTCAATCATCTCCAGCATTCGCCGTCACAAACGGCGTAAAGCAGGGTTGTGTTCTTGCTCTCACACTCTTCTGTATTATGTATTCGGCAATGCTGTCTGATGCGTTTAAGGACTCCGCCACGGGCTTGCCAATCCGGTTTCGTACTGATGGATCAGTTTTTAACCTTAGAAGGCTTCAAGCTAAAACCAAGGTCAAACATACCACGATCAACGAGCTCCTGTTTGCAGACGATTTTGCCCTCAACGCTCCCTCAGAAGCCGTCATGCAACACAGCGTTGATATCTTCTCTGAGGCCTGAAATAACTTTGGGCTCACAATCAACACAAAGAAGACTGAGGTGATGTATCAGCCAACTCCCAGTAAGCCCTACGTTGAACCCAACATCATCATCAGTGGACAGCGTCTCAACCCGGTGGATAAATTTATTTACTTGGGCAGCACCCTCTCTAGATCTGTCGTCATGGATGAAGAAATGAATGACAGACTCACAAAAGCTAGTGCTCTATTTGGCAGGCTCCGCAGCATTGTTTGGGACAGGAGAGGTATCAGTCGAGAAACAAAGCTCAAGGTCTATAGCGCAGCAGTCCTCACGACACTGCACTATGGATTTGAAACGTGGACAGTCTACCAGCTGCACGCCAAGAAACTGAATCATTTTCACACTACCTGCCTCAGGAAACTCCTCGATATAAGGTGGCAAGACAAAGTCCCCGACACCGAAGTCCTACCTAGTATCTTCACCACTCTGATGCAGTCTAAGCTCCATTGGATGGGACATGTAGCCCGTATGGAAGACCACCGGCTGCCGAAACAATTATTCTTCGGAGAACTCACGATAGGCAAGCGCTCCCAAGGAGGTCAAAAAAAGCGTTACAAAGACTCACAGAAAGTGGCACTAAAAGCCTTCAGCATCCACCCTACTCAATGGGTGCGGACAGCCCAGGACAGAGCCAGGTGGAGAGCTGCTGTCAAGAAGGGGGCTAAATCCCATGAAGCCAATAGAATAATCACAGTTGAGACACGCAGGCTTGTCCGAAAGAGCAACATTAGGTCATCGTCTAAAGCAACTATTCCATGCAAACAGTGTCATAGATTATTCCGAGCATGGATCGGTCAAGCAAGCCACTTGCGAGCTCACCGTAATCCCAACCTCCCCCTAACCGGATGACTCGATTGTTCTAGTCGACTTCGACGGACGAACAACAACAACCAATGTAAGGCCCTGGCCTGCTCACCCACATCCTTCTATTCGGATCGTTCTTTGTATTTCCGCATTAATGCCCTGATCCCCAGCTCACATCAGTCCTTCTCTACATCGTCAGTCCATCCTAGTCTTGGTCAACCGTTGAGCCATTCTTCTCTAGGATTCTGCCTGTAGATAATCTTTGATGCTCTACAATCCACAATCCTCTAAATAATTTCCCTGAGAATTTTCCACTCACATGTTCTGAATAGGTTTTCTGCTTGTCTGGTGATCGACCAAGTCTCACATGCTTAAATTATAAGTTCTTTAATGATAGTGGTGTATATTGCTTTCTTTGTTCTTCTTGATTTTTTTTTATCTTCCTAGTGGCTCTTCAAGCCTGAAATAAGAAAGTTTGCCTGCTTTTAACCTTTCTTTCACCTCCAAAATTATTTCATTCATCTCATTTATCGTATGGCTTAGATATTTAAAATTCTCTCAAAGGTCTCACTGCTTATTTCAAAGCTGTGTTGCTGTGTGTTCTTGACATAACTATATATTTTGTCTCACTTATTTAAGCTCGAGACCATCTTGAACTGAGGCATCTTCCCTTCATAGCTTTCTTTATATCATTGCTGTTTCTGTCCAGTAGAGCCCTGTCGCCCGCACGTGTCTGGTACTGCACTGGTTGCCTTTATGAAGTTCCTGGTGGTTGTGGTTATGCAATGGTCCTCTTAAAGTAGTTTGTGGTAGTTCCACAACATCTATACTTTAAATAACTAAGTAGTTTGTGGTAGTTCCACAACATCTATACTTTAAATAACTAAGTAGTTTGTGGTAGTTCCACAACATCTATACTTTAAATAACTTTTTTTTTTATTTCATTCGTTTGTGTCCTACATTCGGCTACGTTATATCACATCAAAATCTTTCTTATGATTCGTCTAAGCCAATGTGATGTTTTGTATGGAGAATCACCTATTATCCCAAGCAGCAAACCATTCGCCATCTATCTCCACGCAGCTGTCGGAGTTTGTTTCAGTAGCTTTACTTTTTCACCATCAGACAGTGGTACAATGCGGTATGAACTCACAGTTGCCTTTCCGATTGCTCTATTTTTTTTATTTTATTTTTTTTATTTTGAAAACTTAAATATCTTGGTAATGAAACCTTTGAATATGTGGCACCACAAAGCAAACGTATATTCAACAAACTCCGAGGAGTCTTTAGGTGATCATAGAGATGCGATGCTGCCTAAATGTGAATGTTTAAACTACTTCGCAATTTAAATCATGAGATTTTTTTTCAAACATCAACTACACAAAAAAAACTGTTTAAAATTATTGTTATGAAACCGAATGACCATAAATTCTCCATGTTAGTCTCGTGTTTGACAGAAGCAAGATTAAAATTCATTGATTTATAGATGTGAGTGATTTGTTTCTGTTGTTCTTGTTGATCAAGCTATTTGACGGAAATTAACTTTTTGGTCAAGATGAACAGTGTGTGAATTTATTACAGCAGAAACGATTTATTTGTGTGTGTGTTTGCGAATAATACGCATACTTAGATTTATTTGTGTGTGTGTGTATTATATGCACACTTAGATTTATTTGTGTGTGTGTATTATATGCACACTTAGATTTATTTGTGTCTGTGTGTGTGTATTAATTGCACACTTAGATGTATCTCTGTGTGTTTGTGTGTGTGTGTGTTTGTGTGTAGTTTATGCACACTTATATTTATTTGTGTGTGTGATTATATGCATACTTAGATTTATTTGTGTGTGTGTGTATTATATTCATACTCAGATTTATTTGTGTGTGTATTATATTCATAGTTATATTTATTTGTGTGTAGTATATGCACACTTAGATTTATTTTAGAGGTGTATTGACCTTTGTCCTAATTAAAGTGGAATAATTCGAAGTGTTTATTTGGTAGGAATAAGAGATGAGCGTGTTTTTCATCCGATCTTTGGTGAAACAACGGAAGATATGAGAGACAGAGAGAGAGAGAGAGTGAGAGATGGTAAGTTAAATTAATGAAGTCAACAAAGGCTGGTGTGGGTTGGGGGGGGGAGATGAAATGTAATGAATAAACAAATAAATAATGTGAAAACTATTTTTTTAAAACCTTTTTTTTTTAAATGTAAAATGAAATAAAGGGGGGGGGGAGGGGAATTAAAACATACTAAAAATATTAAAACACAGGGTTTCTAAAGACAAACAAATGTATAATGTTATATAAAAAATGAATAAACAAATAAATAATGTGAAAACTATTTTTTTAAAACCTTTTTTTTTTAAATGTAAAATGAAATAAAGGGGGGGGGGAGGGGAATTAAAACATACTAAAAATATTAAATCACAGGGTTTCTAAAGACAGACAAATGTATAATGTTTTATAAAACTATCATAACACTTACCTAAAAGACACGGAAGAACCAAATAAAGCATGACATCAAAGTGTTCCTGCTTGTGGATTTATGAACAGCCACACACATCAGAAGGTCAAAGTTCATAAATTATGCTCCTTTTAACAATACTATTTGGCCAAATGAAAAGTTTGAAAACAAATGATAATACATTTGGTCACTTTAAAAAGACGTGATAAGAAAACTTAGTCTGTCAGTAAGAAAACTAGTGTGTCAGTAAGAATACTTGTGTGTCAGTAAGAAAACTAGTTTGTCAGTAAAAAAAACTAGTGTGTCAGTAAGAAAACTAGTGTGTCAGTAAGAAAACTAGTATTTCAAGAAGAATACTAGTGTTTCAAAAAGAAAAGTAGTGTGTCAATAAGAAAACTAGTGTGTCAATAAGAAAACTAGTGTGTCAAATGGAAAACTAATATGTCAATAAGAAAACTAGTGTGTCAAGAAGAAAACTAGTGAGTCAATTAGAAAACTAGTGTGTCAAGAAGAAAACTAGTGAGTCAAGAAGAAAACTAGTGAGTCAATTAGAAAACTAGTGTGTCAATAATCGTCAGCTCCTTTAATACGTCCTGTCATTTCTTAAAAGCTACCTCAACAAGACGCGATGCGGCCACGTCTGCTGGTTGCTCTAGCTATTGCCAGTTATATAACTCGATGTCCATTGACACGTCTGCTGGTGGACCTAGGTATTGACAGTTCCATAACTGCGTTTCCTGGCCATGTCTGCTGATGACTAGCAATTTTTAATGATATCACTCCATGTCCAGGTGACGTCTTCTGGTGTACCTAGCTATGGACAGTTCTGTAACTCCGTGTCCTGATCACGTCTGCTGGTGTCCCTAGCTATTGACAGTTCTGTAACTCCGTGTCCTGGCCACGTCTGCTGGTGGACCTAGCTATTGACAGTTCTGTAACTCCGTGTCCTGGCCACGTCTGCTGGTGGACCTAGCTATTGACAGTTCTGTAACTCCGTGTCCTGGCCACGTCTGCTGGTGGCTCTGCGTATTATCATTTTTATAACTCCTTATTGAGCCTAAGTCTGTTCGTGGCTCTATCTTTTGCCAGTTTTATCACTCCTTGGCCCAGCAAAGTCTGCTGGTGGCTCTAGCTACTGTCAGTTATATAGCTCTGTGTTCAGGCCTCGTCTTCTGCTGGTCTTAGCTATAGCCAGTTATACAACTCTGTGTTAAGGCTATGTCTCTTGGTGGCTTTAGCTAATGAAAGTTATAAAACTCTGTTTCCAGGCCCCGTCTGCTGGAGGCTCTAACAATTGTAAGCTATAGAACTTGGAGTCAAGGCCACGTCTGCAGCTGGACTTAGCCATTGTCAGTAAGATAACTCCGTGTCCAAGCCGCGTCTTCTGGTGAATCTAGCTATTGTCAGTCATATAACTCAGTTTCCAGGCTATGTATGCTGGTGGCTATAGCTCTTTGCCAGTTATACAACTCCGTGTCCGGCCACGTCTGCGGTTGTCCTGAGCTATTGCCAGTTCTATAACTTCGTGTCCAGGCAACATCTGTTAGCTTTGCAGCAGAACTTTAGACAGCATTAGATGTGAGTGCTCAAACAGAGCTCAAGACCACCATAGAAGTTCGTTTCCAAGCAGAATTCTCGACAGCCTTAGAAGGGAGTTTTCAAGTAGAACTCAAGACAGCATTAGAGGTGAGTTTTAAAGAAGAATTCAAGACAGAATTAAAATTGTGTTTCGTTTGCGTTTTCTTTAAACATGCTACGTTTATGACAAAGTTTCCTAAATAAAAGAGGTTTAAAAAAAATAAACATTATTATTTATTAAATTCCCACCAGCTTTTGTCTTTTGAAAATTATAATATTAAACAAACTCCCCCATCTTTTTGCAAGGATTTTTAAAAAAGAAAAAAAATTAAGAGGAGAATCCATCAGAAAGATGAGAATCTATCAGAAAGATGAGAAACTATCAGAAAGATGAGAATCTATCAGAAAGATGAGAATCTATCAGAAAGATGAGAATCTATCAGAAAGATGAGAATCTATCAGAAAGATGAGAATCTATCAGAAAGATGAGAATCTATCAGAAAGATGAGAATCTATCAGAAAGATGAGAAACCATCAGAAAGATGAGAATCTATCAGAAAGATGAGAATCCATCAGAAAGATGAGAATCTATCAGAAAGATGAGAATCTATCAGAAAGATGAGAATCTATCAGAAAGATGAGAATCTATCAGAAAGATGAGAATCTATCAGAAAGATGAGAATCTATCAGAAAGATGAGAAACTATCAGAAAGATGAGAATCTATCAGAAAGATGAGAATCTATCAGAAAGATGAGAAACTATCAGAAAGATGAAAATCTATCAGAAAGATGAGAATCTATCAGAAAGATGAGAATCTATCAGAAAGATGAGAATCTATCAGAAAGATGAGAATCTATCAGAAAGATGAGAAACTATCAGAAAGATGAGAAACTATCAGAAAGATGAGAATCTATCAGAAAGATGAGAATCTATCAGAAAGATGAGAATCTATCAGAAAGATGAGAATCTATCAGAAAGATGAGAATCTATCAGAAAGATGAGAATCTATCAGAAAGATGAGAAACTATCAGAAAGATGAGAATCTATCAGAAAGATGAGAAACTATCAGAAAGATGAGAATCTATCAGAAAGATGAGAATCTATCAGAAAGATGAGAATCCATCAGAAAGATGAGAATCTATCAGAAATATGAGAATCTATCAGAAAGATGAGAATCTATCAGAAAGATGAGAATATATCAGAAAGATGAGAATCTATCAGAAAGATGAGAAACTATCAGAAAGATGAGAATCTATCAGAAAGATGAGAATCTATCAGAAAGATGAGAAACTATCAGAAAGATGAGAAACTATCAGAAAGATGAGAATCTATCAGAAAGATGAGAATCTATCAGAAAGATGAGAATCTATCAGAAAGATGAGAATCTATCAGAAAGATGAGAAACTATCAGAAAGATGAGAATCTATCAGAAAGATTAGAAACTATCAGAAAGATGAGAAACTATCAGAAAGATGAGAATCTATCAGAAAGATGAGAATCTATCAGAAAGATGAGAAACTATCAGAAAGATGAGAAACTATCAGAAAGATGAGAATCTATCACAAAGATGAAAAAAAAAAGGAAGATAAACAAGCTGTTTAATAATCATGTCATTTCAACTTTTTTTTGTTCCTACAAGTTTAAGAGTAGATTCTTATTCTAATTTGTCAATTTAAAATAAATTCTCTGGATTTAGGGACACCATTGTTTTAAATTATATCTGTCAACTCATAATTTATCTGAAAAAAGTTATAATAGTTTGAAATTCACAAAATGCTTTTTAAATCAAATGAATGTTGGGAAATTTCTACTTCATTGCATACCTGACATCTTCTTTACATAATAACACCGTTCGTATACGATTTATAAAAATGACCAGGTTTGATGACCTTAAAAATGCATAAACCTTTCAACTTAACAGTTGTTTTTTTTTCCTTTTTGACTTTCGAAAAACTCGGGAATATTTACAAAGGTAACTACTTCAAGTAAGTTTATTATTCTTAGTAATGTTTAGGTTTATTTTCATTTTTGTTCACCACATAAAATAATGCTGGCAGTGTTTTTTGTGATGAAAACTTTTTTTTTTTAAATGTATTTATTATTATGGCATCCTTCCGTCTACGTGAGACGATGGAGTAGCTATATAGTTCAACACTTTGACGAGTGGCTCACTAAGCCAATCCTAGAATGTCAATCACGGCCGCATCTCATCGCAGGAGAATGTTGAATCCTGGTAAATTCTTGATTTTCAAATTGTTCTTTTTGATTCGAGGTCCTCGTTTCGAGTAACTTCTGCCTTTTTCACTCCTTCAAACACTGCTGTACGCCAGTTGGAGCGATGTTCGGCAATGAACTCCCATTCGTTTGTTTCAAAATTGGCTTCCCTCATGTTTCATTTGCAAACGTCTATAAATCTCAGGCGCGGTCGTCCCATATGTCTTGTCCCCTCTGCCAACTCTCCATACAGCAGAACCTTTGGGATACGTCCTTCCTCCATTCTCCGTACATGACCTAACCAGCGAAGGCGTCTCTTGATAAGAAAGGAGAATGTGCTAAACATGTGTGCACGTTCCAAAACCTCCACGTTAGGCACCCTGTCCTGCCAACGAATGCGCAAAATGCGACGCAGACATCTTTGATGGAAGCTGTTGAGTTTCCGCTCCTGACTGGTATATGTGGTCCACACTTCGCTACCATATAGGAGCGTGCTAAGCACACATGCCTGATAGACACTTATTTTTGTTTGATCAGTTTAATTGAGATTATTCCACACCCGCTTATTCAGTTTAGCCATAGTTGCTGCTGCTTTTGCAATCCTGATATTTTTCAATTTATTTATTAACTTTTTTGTAAACCCCTAAACAAATTTATTTTAAAAAATGAAAGCCCCATTACTATTTACAAATAAACAAATATTTGCATAACACAAGCAGGTCAGGCAGAGCTGCCGCTTGACTTTTCGTTGCTGTTTTTGGTCTAGTCCTCTTCCACCTTGCATTGAAAGATGATAAGTAAGAAAAGATGCACATCACATCATTAAGCCCTAAAATATTTCAGGCCCACTGCTGTCCTAGGGATTTCTTGGCTCACACAATGGTTTCTAAGGTTAAGTAACATCCACATTTTTTTTTAAAACTAGCATCTCTTCGGTTGGCCTCCACGTGCGGAATTTTGAAAAACTAAAAAAAATTGAAGTATTTGATAAAAAGAAGCCTTTGATCTTAAAATTATCAAATATCTTCAGGGGACTTTAAAGATTTCATATGCAATTTTAAGATAGGACAAAGCATAACTTCAAGGGTGCCACAACTGGAATGAATTTAGTTCATATCCTCCTAGTGCGGCGTTGAGGTTGTCTTTGATCATTATAATCGCTTATTTTGGCGCTTCACACGCGAAAGTTTGAAATGTCAAATCAAAATTGTCTGAAAGAAACATTGAATCGAAAACCCCAATCAAAAGCCTTCTAGAAATATTAAATTCAACTACACGCCAAATTTAACCCCTGCATCTCGGCCCTGTGCTTTCCTTTCTAGCTGCTTCCGGATGTATCCCATACTTTGTGTGGTCTGCTCTTGTTCGCGTTTCCATAGATTTTTAGGGCTTCCACTTTTCTTTATCTTACATGTTGATGTCATGTTTTGGATTGTCTGGTGGTGCAGTCTACGGGTTTTTGGAGAGTGTGCCGTATCAACCTCCCTCTTTTTCTTTATGATGTCTTCAGCAATATGCTCCTGGCACGTCCTTTCTAGTAAGTCATTTTTGGTGATGGTCTTTGGTCATTTGATGTTTAGGATCTTTCTAATGCAAGTGTTTCTGAAGGTCTGTACTTTCTGTGTAATGTTTGATGATGTTCTCAGATATTCAGCTCCGTAGAGTAGGACTGTGCCGACATTTGTGTTAAAAAATTCTGACTTTGGTCCGAAGAGTCAGCTTTTTTGACTCCCATAGTTTCTTTAATTACACACATGCTGACCCAGCCTTTCCAATTCAAGCGCTTCGAATCCATTATTTAATTAAATGGTGCTGCTTAAGAATGTGAAAGCCTCCACGTCTTCCAGTGCATATAATACCAGAGAGATCTGCTGTTAGTTGAGTGTGTGAGTTTACCTTTTTGATCTTTGCCTTGCTTTTATTAATATGAATAAAAGCAAATGCATCGGCTGACTCGATTTCTACACTACACCCCCATGAAACTGATCACTAATTTTGTTGACGGTAGATACACTTCCTAGTGGCGTAGCTAATATTAGTGTCACCATGAGGGCCAACTATTTTGGTCGCTCTTCCTTTCCAAATACAAACTGTAGATATTTCTGATAATCATGCATCTCCTTGTCAAGAAAAACTCAAATCCGGTAAACAACCTCATTTTTTTCTTTTCTTTTTACTTTGACACCGGAAGAGGCGTACCCAGAGTTCTGCGTCACGGGATATGATGTATTTTTACGCCCATTCCCGTTAACTCTGAAACTAGTTAATATTATTAATACCATTAAAGCCCATTTGGTTCCCCCCCCCCCCGCGCAGTCTGGCCGTATGTCCCATCCGACACTATTAATATTATTAATACCATTAAAGCCCTTTTGGTTCCCCCCCCCCGCGCAGTCTGGCCGTATGTCCCATCCGACACTTTTTTAGCTACGCCTCTGGTCACTGTCCACTGGCAACTTGCAATCCCCACGCCCCCGAAAAATCAGAAATGCCCCCCCCGCATGGAAAAATGTCTGAAAGAAACACCGCCCAAACAAAAATGTACAGACTCGATCATAGACATTAGCTCGATCTGTCATGATCTGTCATGATCTGTCATGATCTGTCATGATCTGTCATGATCTGTCATGATCTGTCATGATCTGTCATGATCTGTCATGATCTGTCATGATCTGTCATGATCTGGCATGATCTGTCGTGATCTGTCATGAGCTGTCGTGATGTGTACGTGAGGGATATGACGTGTTTAAGTCTCACTGAAAGGCAAGTATCTTTAACATGTTCGATGCATCAAACCATTTTCTATTCCCAAATGTTTGGCTTTGATTTCCGTGAATTTAATTTAATTTCAGAGTAAGTAAATAATCCTGGCTAATTGGGGGTTGACTTTGAACCATGTATCGCCTTACGGTTGTTAAAAACCTTCAAATATTTCATTGTAGTTATTGACGTCACGGTTTTCCACAAGACCTGTGAAAGGTCCTTGCGGAAGATATAGGAGCAGTGATTATTTCAGAAATTTTCCCCCGGAGAGGGAAGTGGGGGAGGGGGTACTACAGTTTGGTCGGGGTGGGTGGGGGGCAGTGCCAGCAGTGCCAGTTGATTTATTGTTGGACATATTTTTGCTCCGGGGTTGGGGGGGGGGGCAATTTGCTTTCCTCGGAGATATAGCTGAGAGAAACCCTGCATAGGAGTAAGATTGTAAACATGTCTACGATTTTGTGTGTGTTCTGCCTTGACCCCAATTTGTTTGTGTATGTGTTCTTTTCTTTCCTCGGACAAAATGTGATCAAAGTAGAAGTGAAGCCCAAATGATCCCCATAGAACAATAGTAGGGCGTGTAACTCTAAGCCCCTGGGCTGGCTAAGCAAAGAAATTAATTCCAAATATGGCAGTGGATCATTAGCAAAGGAGGTGGAATTGAATGTAGGATGGTGGAATTTTATGTGGGGTGGAGCAATCGTATGCAGGAAGATGTCATTGAATGTTAACTGTTGACACTGGAGGTGTGATGGTGGAAGTGTATAAGAGAATGATGGCATTATATGGGGATGATGGCGTTGTATGGGGATGATGGCGTTGTATGGGGAGGATGGCGTTGTATGTGGGATGATGACATTTTATGTGGCGATGATGGCATTGTATGAGGCGATGATGGTATTGAATGGGGCGATGATGGCATTGTATGTGGCAATGACGGCATTGTATAGAAAGGTGGTAGCATTGTTTTGAGGTTAACAGCACTGTATTGGTGATGATGGCATTGTATGGGGGATAATAGCATTATATGTGAGATGAAGGCATTGTATGAAGGGATTGTGTATTGTTTTGTGGGATGCTGACGTTGTATGGGGGCTTGGTGGCATTGTCTTTAGGATGAGGTCATTGTATGGGGGGATAATAAAATTTTATGGGGGATAATAGAATTGTATGTGGTCTGATGGCATTGTATGGATGACGAGGGCAATGTTGAGGGAGACTTTGGCAATTTTTGAGGTGATTATGGCATTGTATGGCGGGATTATGGCATTGTATTAGGGGATGATGGCATTGTATGCGGGGATGATGGTATTTTATGGGGAATGATTAAATGGTATGGCGGATGACGGCATTGTAAGGGGATGATGGCATTGTAAGGGAATAAGGCATTGTGGAATAGTTTTCTGATGTGGAATAGTTTTCTAGTGGTGGAATAGTTTTCTGATGGTGGAATAGTTTTCTGATGGTGGAATAGTTTTCTAGTGGTGGAATAGTTTTCTGATGGTGGAATAGTTTTCTAGTGGTGGAATAGTTTTCGTATGGTCGAATAGTTTTCTAGTGGTGGAATAGTTTTCTTATGGTGGAACAGTTTTCTGATGGTGGAACAGTTTTCTGATGGTGGAACAGTTTTCTGATGGTGGAACAGTTTTCTGATGGTGGAATAGTTTTCTGATGGTGGAATAGTTTTCTGATGGTGGAATAGTTTTCTAATGGTGGAACAGTTTTCTGATGGTGGAACAGTTTTCTGATGGTGGAATAGTTTTCTGATGGTGGAATAGTTTTCTAATGGTGGAATAGTTTTCTGATGGTGGAATAGTTTTCTGATGGTGGAATAGTTTTCTGATGGTGGAAAAGTTTTCTGATGGTGGAATAGTTTTCTAATGGTGGAATAGTTTTCTGATGGTGGAATCGTTTTCTGATGGTGGAATAGTTTTCTAGTGGTGGAATAGTTTTCTAATGGTGGAACAGTTTTCTGATGGTGGAATAGTTTTCTGATGGTGGAATAGTTTTCTAATGGTGGAATAGTTTTCTGATGGTGGAATAGTTTTCTGATGGTGGAATAGTTTTCTGATGGTGGAATAGTTTTCTGATGGTGGAATAGTTTTCTAGTGGTGGAATAGTTTTCTAGTGGTGGAATAGTTTTCTGGTGGTGGAATAGTTTTCTGATGGTGGAATAGTTTTCTGATGGTGGAATAGTTTTCTGATGGTGGAATAGTTTTCTGATGGTGGAATAGTTTTCTGATGGTGGAATAGTTTTCTGATGGTGGAATAGTTTTCTGATGGTGGAATAGTTTTCTGATGGTGGAATAGTTTTCTGATGGTGGAATAGTTTTCTGATGGTGGAATAGTTTTCTAGTGGTGGAATAGTTTTCTAGTGGTGGAATAGTTTTCTGGTGGTGGAATAGTTTTCTGATGGTGGAATAGTTTTCTGATGGTGGAATAGTTTTCTGATGGTGGAATAGTTTTCTAGTGGTGGAATAGTTTTCTAGTGGTGGAATAGTTTTCTGGTGGTGGAATAGTTTTCTGATGGTGGAATAGTTTTCTGATGGTGGAATAGTTTTCTGATGGTGGAATAGTTTTCTGATGGTGGAATAGTTTTCTGATGGTGGAATAGTTTTCTGATGGTGGAATAGTTTTCTAGTGGTGGAATAGTTTTCTAGTGGTGGAATAGTTTTCTGGTGGTGGAATAGTTTTCTGGTGGTGGAATAGTTTTCTGGTGGTGGAATAGTTTTCTGGTGGTGGAATAGTTTTCTAGTGGTGGAATAGTTTTCTAGTTGTGGAATAGTTTTCTAATGGTGGAATAGTTTTCTAATGGTGGAATAGTTTTCTAGTGGTGGAATAGTTTTCTAGTGGTGGAATAGTTTTCTGGTGGTGGAATAGTTTTCTGATGGTGGAATAGTTTTCTAATGGTGGAATAGTTTTCTAATGGTGGAATAGTTTTCTTATGGTGGAATAGTTTTCTAGTGGTGGAATAGTTTTCTGATGGTGGAATAGTTTTCACCTGTTGGACTTGTTGTCTGATGTGGGATTAGTTTAATAAATTGTCAAAGGTTGACCCATAACCAGTTATTGTATTCGAGCTTGATAAATAAATCAATATTTATTTATTTCATGATTCTGTTTGGTAATTTCTGATAGAATATTTTCTTATTGGAGAGGAACATTTTCGTGTATCTTTGAATATCTGGGGATCATCTGGGGAATAGCTATATTTTTATGAAGAATATGTCCAAAAGTATCAGTATTTTTTATTTTATTTTTTTTGAATCAAAGAATTTTTTTTTTAACTCTTTATCAAAATATTCGAATCAAAGAACATTATAAAAAAACTAAAGAAATATCTAATTAAAAGTACTCATTAAGATTCTCAATGTTTATTTACTTAAACTAATTTATATTTTTTTTACTTTTGTTGCAAGTCAATAATCAGCTTTATTTTTATTTTTATTTATTTTTTTATTTTTGAACAGTATTTATTTCTGGCTTTAGCATTTTTTTAAACAAATGATTGAATATTATTATTTGCTGTAATATTGGATAAAGTGTCGTTTCTTGAATAAGTTGCTATGGACGTTTACAACGTATCGTCCTTCATATGAAGGGCTTCCTATTTGACCGGGTATCGCTAGCGTTCGATACGGATTAAGGTTTCGTCACGGGTTCCAACATCCGTCCTTGGATGATGAGGACACCAAAGAGCTCATCCCTGACGAAGAACAAGAACGGATGGCTTGCCTTGACCGCGACCAGTGCTTTGACCTCACCGCCTGCAACACGCGCTGAGCGCCCGTAAATCCGGTTGTCCTCATCTTGGTCATCCTCTTCGTCATCCTTCCCGTCATCGTCTTCGTCTTTTTTCGAGAGCGTGGTCTTCGGTCTTGTAGAGACGGTCGTCTTCGAGCTCGGTGGTGCGGTGGCACCCTCCTCGTGTAAATAAAGAAATCTATCCGATCCGATCGTCACATGTGTTAAATCGAGAGCTATCAGCGCTATATGTCTGGCCTGGCCGAATTTACATGGCAGGGGGGTGACGTTTGTGAAGTCGGCAGCCTGGGAAAAGGCGGCGTTTATTCCCAGTTTTTGCAGTAGCGCATCCAGGTCGATCACTTCTACGACCCTGAACGTCGGCAGCTCGACCAGAACGTCCCGCACCTGGACCGAATCGAACACTTCATCCAGATGTACGCTACGTCTAGCGAGCTGATCCTCCAGTTTATCCAAGCCTTCGGCGGTGGTTGGCAGTACGACGTAGAAGCTGAAGCGGTCGTTCTCAAAGGGAATCTTCAGCACGTGGCCGTTCAACTCTTGAGATAATGAATATCCGAATTTGCCCCTCGCTCTCATAGACGTTGTCTTTATATTCTTGTAAGTCGACGTGGTAAAGTCCATATAATTCCCCGCGTTGTAAATGAATTTCTGTCTCCATCGGAGTCTTAGGTGAACAACGTTAACGATCATGGCTGAGAAAGGTGTCTCGCCAGCGTGTTCACGTTTTGTATTGCTTGGCAAGAAGGTGATGAAGGTCCACCCGGTTTTTGTTTCCAAATCCACTGCGGAAGGGGTGTAGATCCAATTGATAGCACTCTGTTTAAGAAATTCTTTGATTAATATTTGTACGGCTTTGTTTTATATTAGCATGTTACAAAAGCTAGGATCACGATTCAACAACTGAGAGAATGAAAAAATAGATACGTGTTTTTCGAAATTTAAAAAAATGTTTTTTGGGGTTTTTTTTAGAATGAATTCCTTGAGCGTTTAGATTACTCGCGGAACGGCATGTGGCGGCACGATGGTTGGGTCTGCTCCAAATGTAATTGTCGCTGTCATAGGTAAGTAAATGTCACTGTCATAACTAAGTAATTGTCACTGTATTAGTAAAGTATTTGTCACTTTACTGATCAACTTTAAGAATCCGATCGACAAAGTCAATTTTTCCACATTCGACCCACATTCTTAGGTCCCTTTCGCTTCTACACTGACAGTAAACTTACTGTTATCTCTCATATCAGTTCGGTGGTCAGGGCTTGTTTCTGTCACGTTTGGGTTGTGTGTCAGCTGCGTCCCAAACTTAATAAGGAAGGGCCGCCAAGGCCATGGCTGTCACTCTAATCCCATCAAGATTAGAATAGTGTAACAGTTGTTTCTCTCACCTTTGGGTTGTGTGTCAGCTGCGTCCCAAACTTAATAAGGAAGGGCCGCCAAGGCCATGGCTGTCACTCTAATCCCATCAAGATTAGAATAGTGTAACAGCTGTTTCTGTCACCGTTGGGTTGTGTGTCAGCTGCGTCCCAAACTTAATAAGGAAGGGCCGCCAAGGCCATGGCTGTCACTCTAATCCCATCAAGATTAGAATAGTGTAACAGCTGTTTCTGTCACCTTTGGGTTGTGTGTCAGCTGCGTCCCAAACTTATTAAGGAAGGGCCGCCAAGGCCATGGCTGTCACTCTAATCCCATCAAGATTAGAACAGTGTAACAGCTGTTTCTGGCGTTTACTTCAAAATCTAATTCAAAGACTCCAGAAGGTACGAAATACTGCAGCATGCATTTCATCACGTATAAAGTAATCTGACCCCATCACAAAAGTTCTTCAAGTTCTCCATTGACTCCCTGTGAGTGGGCGCATTGGCTATAAAATTATGTCCCTGGCGTACAGCTGTATAGAAGGTTCTGCAAATTTATTTCTTCAAAAACTGATTTCTAATCATGTATCCATACAGAACCTGCGCTCTTCAACATAGTCCCTACTGACAGTTCCCAGTGTGGTTTGACACCGAAAGAATTCATACGAAATGCGCTCTTTTGAAGCTATTGAAACGGTTTGCCTCAATCTTTGAGGGCAATCGGAAACGATAAAAATTCATTTAAGACTTGTGTAAAGGCCTTTTTCTTTCAATAGATTTTATGACATAAGCGCTTTGTAAGGATTGCTAAACTGGCATGAAAACAAGTTCTATACAAGTAACTAATCATCATCATCCTGAGCTTTAGCCCGGCCGTTTGCTGTGCTATGGTCTCAAGTTTCTCTTCTTAAACAGTTTCGACTATGGTCGCGTTAAAAACATCTGCATTAAATTCAAACGCTACGCGATCAGACGAAAAAAAAAAAAAAAAAAAAAAAAAAAGAAAGAGGAATAAAGGGAAAAAAAAAAAAAAAAAAAAAAAAAAAAAGCAAGAGAAAGAGGAATTAAGTGGACAAAAAAAAAAAAAAGAACGACCAGTTACCGCTAAATGCCCGTTCTGTCAGATTTGTTCTAAGGTGATTTTGGCCGTTATTTTTTTTTAATTGTACGGGCCGCCGGCAGGAACTTTGGCTGGAGCCAGCCGACCACCCGTTGAAAAAAGCTGCATTTAAAAAAAAACTTTTTGACTAAAATTTATATTGATTTATCCCAATTTTGACCAGTTCATTTTACAGATTTCATTACAGGGTCTTATTTTCTTGTTACGTATCAATTTTGAAATTGTTTTTTTTTTTTTTTTTGGTTTAAGCAGTTATTTTTTCTTTTTGTTGGTTTTTCTTTTTTTTTTGTTTTTAATTTTTAAATTTTTTTTTTTTTTTTTTTTGGCTTGAGCAGGTAATATCTCATTTTGGACAATTTCTCAGTTTGGCCAGTTGTCAGTTTGATCAGTACTCCCTGCGACCAATTATTTTATGTGGGACAGTTCTTAGTTTGAAATTTTTTTTAATTTTATAAATTCTTTGCTAGAACAGTTCTTACTTTGATCCGTTCTCATTTTAAAGGAATCTCTAAATTGTGGCCATGCAAACAAACAATTAATAAATAAATAAATATATAAATACCCACCCCCTTCCGATATCAACTTTTCCAAGCAGCTTTGTCTTTATTCTAGACTTTAAAAATTATCAATAATAATACTAATTTAGTTGTCAACCCACCGTAAATTTCTCGTCCACGGATATGTCCGGATTTATCAAATAAATATAAATAAATATATAAATACTCACCCCTTCCGATATCAACTTTTCCAAGCAGCTTTGTCTTTATTCTGGACTTTAAAAGTATCAATAATAACACTAATTTAGTTGTCAACCCACCGTAAATTTCTCGTCCACGGATATGTCCGGATTTATCAAATAAGTTTTGTTGAGTTGAATCTCGCAGTCCTTGCCGAGATTGCAGTTGTCGGGGGCCCAAGCAAGCCATCCTTTGTACTGCTCGTTAAGGTTTCTGATTTTGCTAACCTATAAAACAAACAAAAAAAAACACCAAACATAAAATAAAAACTGCTTTAGAAATATCCAGAATGCTTTGTTACCTGTTTCTCGTTTCACGGAATTCTTTCTTCTCCGGGTAATTCTCTTTATCACGATCTCTTTCTGCGTGTCTGGAGTAGAAATCGACAGAATTTCGGCTTTGGCTTGTCATTCGATCCCTTTCGGCCTAGTTTCTGTTACAGGCTAAAGTCATTTTTTTAAAATTACGGCACGGTTTCGGTCTTGGCCGAAATCAGACAGTCACTTTCGTTTGGATCAATCAGCACTTGGGTTGTCTTTTTATTTCAAAACATAACATATTTTGTTTCACTATTTCCCAGAGCGTTGCCAAATTAAATGTCACGGGGGAATGGTCTGCTTCAGCGAATACCGGAACCGAAAGTAAAACCGTTTTCCTTGTACATTTTCTAAACAATAAAAAGCTTTTATCAAAATAGTTTTCAATGAAAATTATACATTTTTTGTAATTTAAAAAAAAAAAATTTTTTTTTAAATTTAAAATGCAAATGTATCTGTTTAAAATGTGATTTTAGAAGACATTACTTCCACACTACCCATTGTAGATGTATGAGAAATTTAAAAACTAAATTAAGAAATCCATAAACCAACTCTTAATTTGATAATACAGAGTATATTTTGTCATATAAAATTGAGAATGTCCCGGGGGAAGATAGTCACTTTATAATAGAATCCTTAAAGCAATTTATTCGAGAATATTTTTGTTTTCTACAGCAACTCTCTTGCGGTTGTTTTGATCAAAGTAGAGTTATTCCACTTGTTTTTGGGCCGCAACGTCTTAGAAATATTTTGATCATTATTTTACAGAAGAAAAAAAACGAGCTTTGTTAGTTTTCAAAGGATGTGTGGCTGCCGTCACCTAGGCAACGTAAATGTTTATTATTATTATTTTTATTTTTTTTGGGTGGTATGGTGGAACGATAAGGTGAATTTAACGGAAATAAATTAGTACGTTTTAAAGTAAAGCCTACTTTCAAATCCTTTATATTAACGTCGCTTGTGTTCGAGTGTTTCAGTGTATAAGGGAAAATATTCGAAAGACCGACTTCCCGTCATCCTATCGACCTGAAACTGGTCACACAGATTCTTTGCGGATGGCACTACATTCAGACAAATTTCCAGCTTCAAAACCCTAAAAAAACAGTTTTTACCGCTTTTCAGGTTGAGAATGAATGAAGTTTGATTTGTTCAATCGTGTTGTGGTGTGGAGATTAAATTGTGTAGATGTTGCTATGCGCTTGCAAATAAAGGATTTATATGAATAACTTTGTTGTTAAGGTTTGTGTCGTACAAAATATGTTATCTAATCTGTTTTAATTAAACCTTATGAACTTATCTGTCACTGCACTGTCGACTTAGAGTTTATTTATCTCAACAGATAAGCGTCTCCTCAAAACGTATTTGCGCCCACATCCGGATGTCAAAGACACACATAAACATTGACCACGACGTTCCCTCCCCTATAAAGCAGCGGCTCTCAAAACTTGGGTCACGTCCCTTCTTGTTAAAGGAAGGTCCATGTTTTTTCAGTGTTCGATTTGGTGAAAAAATGTTTTTGAATACCTTGTTTTGTATATCAATAGATATGTGAGGTTAGTCAGCGCTCATTTATTTTTAATTGAAAGCTCCCGGGAATGTTTTTGTGGGGACACGATGTAAAATGCCTCAGAATGTATGGACCAATGAGAGGAATCATCACCCAAGCCAAAAAAATAAGTTCGTAAGGCTCCTATAATTTGAAGGACAGACGAAATAACAAGGTCTTGGATTTTCTTAAATAGGTAAGCGTGTTCCCTAGACAGCAAATCGCCTCTCTGCACGCACCTGAATATCAACCCAAGGGAATATGTTGTTTTTTGTTTTTGTTTTTTTAAGAAACAGCTTGTAATCATTGGCGTAACAGGAGTTGCTGGAATATTCATTGTGTCAAAGGTATCCACATACGTGACTCCATCTCCAGGTTTGTATTCAGAGCCCGCCTTGTCTTGGATGAGTTACGATCCAAATTTAACGAGTTCCATCCACCCGGGGGTGCTTGGTGATGTTTTTGATTGTCTAGGCTTATCGCTCCTGACCGCCGGCGTTTTTGAATTGACTCGGTATAGAACCCTCGGCCAACAAAACTATGAATTAGAAACTGGCCACCCAAACTATAACAATAGAAACTGGCCACCCAAGCTATAACGATAGAAACGGCCCTCTAAACTATAACAATAGAAACTGGCCACCCAAACTATAACAATAGAAACTGCCCCCAACCAAATATAACAATAGAAACTGCCACACAAGCTACAACAATACAAACTCACCTCTAAAGTTATCTTCAATTCTTTAGAGGTTGCGCCCTTTGCTCCAACAATCGCCATTGACAAAGCCAGGTGAATGCTGACTGGCGAAAAGAAAAAGCTGTCTCTTGTCTCCCTCAGAACTGTGTGCAGGTCCATAGAGAAAAATGATATGGCCTTGGCTAAGTTTTGAAGATCTGGTATTGGAGGCAGGGTGGGTCCATTATCAGCGATAGCACACAAGCAATGAGAAGTCGTGTAACTGGCAACAGCTAGAGCCACCAAAAGACACGGTGACTTCATAACTCGGTGAAGGTTGTTGTTGAACTGACAACCTGTTGAACAACAACTTACACAACTGAGTGGTGTCATTCTGGTCTTTATAGTCGGCTAAATTGATTATCGATTTAGCTTTTCGTCCGTCCAATTATGTCTCTTGAGAGGGGTTTAAATTTATGATTGCCACCTGCACTCGTAACTCGCTCTATCATAAATTCTCAGCCAATGTATTTTGATCATGTAAGTGTCGTTCCACATAATGTTCTTCTGATTTAATGCTTGCTATCGTAGATCAGTTTGGTTGTAATGGTTCTTGAGACATGTCTGTGGCCAATTGATGGATTGCTTCTAGCGCTACAACACAAGACGTTGTGTGTTGTAACTGAGGAAAAACCTTTCATATCAGGTACTCAATACTTGTAACGTAGCTTATAACCTTTTTATTATGTTATTAGAACCATTTTAAAGTTTATCTAAAAAAAAAAATAAATTTAAAACCACACCAAACCAAAAAAACCCCACCTTTTTTTGAGAATGTTAACGCTATTAGAAACTGGTAGTTCACATACGAACCAGTGACCATAAAACATTAGTGAAACACATGTGCTGCTTGAACATAATATCTTTCAAATTAAATATTTCTTATATAAAGATTTGTGTATAACTCCGATTTTTGCATTTTGTTTTTTTTTTTTACATTTTATATTTATTTTCTGATGTCGCAACTGCTTTTGCACCGCAGATTTATTTCAAAAACTATTTCAGAAAAACAAAAACAAAAAACAACAAAAATATTACGCACCTAATACACTTGTGATATTTTTACAAAAATCATTTAGCCATACCGGCAGGGTGAGAAAATCATGTCTATTGTTGAACGAGATGCTATGAACGATTCAGTCATTTCTAGCTATTCACCAAAAAGACAGTAATAAATCACTCTATTATACGCCACAAGAGGAGATTACAAAAACAAAAAGCTATTCCTTTCCATTTTTTTTCCTTTTCTTCTCTCAAGATATAAATAATGGCTCAAGCCCTGTGCAGCGCACCGGTGCTGTCCGCAATAATAAAATCCTTAAAATGGTGCGAAATGTTGCGCACAAAAAAACGTGCACACTTATCTGATTGTGGCCTTGTGCAATGCTGACATTTCGGGTCACTTTTTTGGCCTAATCTAATAAAGTAAGGCTCGTTCGGGCAGTGTTACTGGTTACCAAAGTCTAGAGCTGGTGTTTTAGTTTCTGCCACGCACCAGCTAAGAGATGTCTGACTTGGTCTTGAACCACCTAAGAGATGTCTGACTTGGTCTTGCACCACCTAAGAGATGTCTGACTTGGTCTTGCACCTCCTAAGAGATGTCTGACTTGGTCTTGCACCAGCTAAGAGATGCCTGACTTGGTCTTGCACCTCCTAAGAGATGTCTGACTTGGTCTTGCACCACCTAAGAGATGTCTGACTTGGTCTTGCACCAGCTAAGAGATGTCTGACTTGGTCTTGAACTCCCTAAGAGATGTCGGACTTGGTCTTGCACCAGCTAAGAGATACCTGACTTGGTCTTGCACCACCTAAGAGATGTCTGACTTGGTCTTGCACCAGCTAAGATATGTCTGACTTGGTCTTGCACCACCTAAGAGATGTCTGACTTGGTCTTGCACGAGCTAAGAGATGTCTGACTTGGTCTTGCACCACCTAAGAGATGTCCGACTTGGTTTTGCACCTCCAAAGAGATTTCTGACTTGGTCTTGCAACACCTAAGAGATGTCTGACTTGGTCTTGCACCAGCTAAGAGATGTCTGACTTGGTCTTGCACCCCCTAAGAGATGTCTGACTAAGTCTTGCACCAGCTAAGAGATGCCTGACTTGGTCTTGCAGCAGCTAAGAGATGTCTGACTTGGTCTTGCACCCCCTAAGAGATGTCTGACTTGGTCTTGCACCACCTAAGAGATGTCTGACTTGGTCTTGCACCACCGAAGAGATGTCTGACTTGGTCTTGCACCACCTAAGAGATGTCTGACTTGGTCTTGCACGAGCTAAGAGATGTCTGACTTGGTCTTGCACCACCTAAGAGAAGCCTGACTTTGTCTTACACCAGCTAAGAGATGTCTGACTTGGTCTTGCACCACCTAAGAGATGTCTGACTTGGTCTTGCACCACCTAAGAGATGCCTGACTTGGTCTTGCACCACCTAAGAGATGCCTGACTTGGTCTTGCACCACCTAAGAGATGTCTGACTTGGTCTTGCACCACCTAAGAGATATCTGACTTGGTCTTGCACCACCTAAGAGATGGCTGAATTGGTCTTGCACCACCTAAGAGATGTCTGACTTGGTCTTGAACCACCTAAGAGATGCCTGACTTGGTCTTGCACCACCTAAGAGATGTCTGACTTGGTCTTGCACCACCTAAGAGATGTCTGACTTGGTCTTGAACCACCTAAGAGATGCCTGACTTGGTCTTGAACCACCTAAGAGATGCCTGACTTGGTCTTGAACCACATAAGAGATGTCTGACTTGGTCTTGAACCACCTAAGAGATGTCTGACTTGGTCTTGCACCCCTAAGAGATGTCTGACTTTGTCTTGCACCCCCTAAGAGATGTCTGACTTGGTCTTGCATCCCCTAAGAAAAGTTTTTAAAAATAATTTAAATATAGAGGTTCTTGGATGGTGTGGGGGGGGGGTATTTAAAAAAAATCAATTCCACAAGGGGAACAGTAAAATTAATTCTTTTTTAAAGGTATGAATCATTACATAAAGTAAATTGTTATTTAAGAAATTATAAAAATTAACAATTATAACATAACTAAACAAGTCAATTTCTCCTCTGCTCTTAAAGGTCTGTGCTCTTACTGCCTCTTCTCTTACTGCTTCTATTCTTATAGCCCTTACTCTTATAGCCTCTACTCTTAAAGCCTATGCTCTTATAGCCTCTATTCTTATAGCCTCTACTCTTAGACCCTTTTCTCTTATGGTCTCTACTCTTAGACCCTCTACTCTTATAGCCTCTAATCTTATAGCCTGTACTCTTAGAGCCTCTACTATTATAGCCTCTACTCTCAGAGCCTTTACTCTTATAGCCTCCACGATTATAGCCTCTGCTTGTATAGCTTTTTCTCCTCGCACCCCGTGAAATGACACCTCAAACAAGCTTGTTTGGGGAAACGCTACAGTTTAGGGTCTAAGGCCCGCCAGACAAGCTAAGAACCGTCGTTTGGCACAGCCAGCCCACCAGAAAATGTAAACCGCGCGTCTGTCTGCGGGAGTTCCATCGGCTGCCGGGCTTTGTGAAGCGCGGTGTCACGCGACTAGACGACTGAAATATAAGGACGTTGGACGTGGCCGCACTAATGGTGAAGCGAGACGAGAGAGAGAGAGAGAGAGGGTGAGAGAGGGAGAGCAAATAGTAATGGCTTCCTTTGCTGTGCATGGACGCGCGACGGGCGTGCGCCGGGGTACTGAAGAGTGATGACCAGGGAGAGACAAGAACACACGGGGAGATAATCCGTTCTTTCATCTCTAAAACGCAATTATAATGTGAGTATCATAGGCTAGTGTGGCAAGTGTCATTTAGGTTATAATTTGAGTATCATAGGCTAGTGTCATTTAGGTTTTCATTTGAGTATCATAGGTTTGTGTAGCAAGTGTCATTTAGGTTATAATTTGAGTATCATAGGCTAGTGTGGAAAGTGTCATTTAGGTTATAATTTGAGTATCATAGGCTAGTGTGGAAAGTGTCATTTAGGTTATAATTTGAGTATCATAGGCTAGTGTGGAAAGTGTCATTTAGGTTATAATTTGAGTATCATAGGCAAGTGTCATTTAGTTTATCATTTGAGTATCATAGGCTAGTGTCATTTAGGTTTTCATTTGAGTATCATAGGTTTGTGTAGCAAGTGTCATTTAGGTTATAATTTGAGTATCATAGGCTAGTGTGGAAAGTGTCATTTAGGTTATAATTTGCGTATCATAGGCTAGTGTGGAAAGTGTCATTTAGGTTATAATTTGAGTATCATAGGCTAGTGTGGAAAGTGTCATTTAAGTTATAATTTGAGTATCATAGGCTAGTGTGGAAAGTGTCATTTAGGTTATAATTTGAGTATCATAGGCTAGTGTGGAAAGTGTCATTTAGGTTATAATTTGAGTATCATAGGCAAGTGTTATTTAGGTTATCATTTGAGTATCATAGGCTAGTGCGGCAAGTGTCATTTAGGTTATAGTTTGAGTATCATAGGCTAGTGCTGCAAGTGTCATTTAGGTGACGATGTGAGTATGGCAAACACCTGCTGGGGTGAGGTTTGCTACCATCTTTTCCAGCTGGCTATTATCTCCTAGATGGGCTGAGAAAGACTGAGAATGGGTATTCTCGTATTTAGTTTCTGTAATGTTGCGCTTTGTATTTCATTGTGGTATAATACATATTTTTTCCTTTCTCTTCTAAGATGGTTGACTTTGTACCCGGCTTCGAGCCTTTTGGGAATCTTGATTTTTCAAATAAACGTTATTATTATTATTATTATTATTATTATTATTATTATTATTATTATTATTATTATTATTATTATTATTATTATTATTATTATTATTATTATTATCATATGCTAGTGGGGCGGCCTCGCACTTAGGTTATCATGTTTCGAAGGGATACTCGGGCTATAGTTTTAGTGTCGCCATTCGCGTGTATTGGCGTATGTATTATCCGCGGACATTTCAGTGGCACCTGTTTGCCAAATATCGCGTTGTTTTTCGTTCTTTTTTTTTTTCCTTTTACAAATCATTTCGCTAATTTTCATTTTTCGCGTATCTACTGACTATCTCTCTCTCTCTCTCAATATAGTATCAGGAGAAACTGGCGGGAGTGTGTGTCGCGTAATGACAGGGACTGAACCGGGCGCAGTGTTTTTTGTCGGGGTACCTGGGCCGGGTATTTGTCAGGTCATCCCCGGTGGGGGTCCGAATCTGGGTACGGGGTATTAAAAAAAAAAATTTACAATCCCGCCTTCGCCACCCCCGCTTAATTATTAATCGGGAAGTTATTTTGCGTCCCTGTCAGAAGTAAAATTAAAACATTTATTTAAAGGCTGTAAGCAACTGGGTAATACTAATAATGGAGCTGACAATGCAGAGGCATGTGTGTCTGTGTGTTTG